TTTGTTTTTATTACTTCTATTCTATTCTGTTCTATTTGATTTTTACTTTGTCTGAAGTTCTCTGTGTATATTTTGAAGACAACAAAAGGCATTATGGTAACTGTTGTTGATTTCATAGTATTTTGAAGTCCTGTATCTTTTGCACTGGTTTGTTTTGATTGATTTTATTCTGTTTTATTATCTTTGGTTTTATCCTCTTTAAAATAAATAAATAAATAAATAAATTTTATGCAAAGTAATAAACTACTATAACAAATCTGCATGCAGGCAGCAACGAATTCCTAGTACCAGGGAGTACCAGAATGGGCCTCCATCATTGTTCAGCCTTTCTCCAGACAGAACCAAGTCTTTGCTATTATCTATTCAAATTTTCTGTTACTACCATCAGCTCTCCCTATGTAAGTTTAAAAAAGTTCCAAGGAAAGGTAATAAGCAAACCTAAAATATATTGAAATGAGTATGCATAACAAAAGTTGGAAATGATAACACACATTGAGAGAGGTGACCTCATAAAAATAAAATATACTTCATAACTGATGTTGCAGAATACCACTTCTCAAACTTTAATATGCTTCCAAAGCATCTGTGAATCTCAGAAAGTACAGATCTGATGGACCAGGCTGCCTTTAGGTTCTGCATTTTAGACAACGTATCAAGTATTCGACCTACTGAGTCACAGATAATATTTTGAATAGTAAATTTGTATTATGATTGCATACAGCACATAATGAACCCATGTATAAATGTTAAATATATAAGTTGTTGATGTTTTGATATATTGGTGAATTCAAAAACAGCTAATGGAAAAACCAACTGGGGGTTCAATTGATTAGGAATACATTATTTTTTCTTTCTAAAAAAAATAGATTGTGAGCTCCAATATCAAAATACTGGCAATTCAATAAATTTTCAGAAATGTGTATATGTTTTTATCTGTGTATACAGATATATGTACGTTTGTGTATATATTAGCTTTAGTGTACATAGAATAACTATGGAAAGTTCTGGAAAAGTAACAAGAAATTTAATACTGAGTTTACAGAATAGTGTATGTATGTTACTCTATTTCCTCTTATATTTTTTTAATTTGAGTCATAGGAGGATGTTATTTATTAGTAAGCTTTTTAAAAAATTGATTCCTAGAACTGAAAACCTCATTTAGTAGGATAAAAAGGGAGAAGATTTGTACAAGTCTAAATCTACAGCAAACTTTTCCAAGAAAGATGTAATGCTGCACTGATCTCAGTCAGTTTGGATCAAACTTAAATCCACACACAGAAATGATGAAATGTACAGTAGTCATATCCTTGGAAATTGAGGGTTCTCTGCATTTCCAATGACCTGAAAGTATGCCTATTAAAACTATTTACAAATTGGGTCTGGTACACAACTCTAATCCCAGCACTCAGGAGCCCGAGGCAGGAGGAGCACTGCAAATTGGAGGCCAGCTTTGCTTACATAGTAAGTTCAAGCCCAGCCTGAACTACATAGCAAGACCCTATGCAAAAAAAAAAAAAAAAAATCATGTTTAAAAATCTGTTTTAAAAATCATCTTTTCTAGAAGGATGAACAAAGCAAAGAACTGGCACCCTATCCCACTCTTTTTATTTAGGACAGATCTACAAAGTAATTTTTAATGTTTTCTTCCTAATACTATGTCCATGTTCTGGGGGATTTTTTTATTTGTTTGTTTTTTTGTTTGTTTTGTACCATGGATTGAACTCACAACTTTGTATTTACTAGTCCCTATGTCCATGTTTATAATCAGTATTTTTATACATCCACTTATGGATTTGGAATTTTACACTTTTACCATTAACATCTTGCTATGATTAATGAAAATCTGACCTGTCTGTAACTCCCCACCTCTCCCCATTATCCACTAGACATACAACAGGGTTCATTTTAGGTTTGTCACTTACTAAGCTCATAATGGAATACAATGTTTTCATTTTTACTGTTTATCAGTGGAGGCTCTGGCCTGACTCTCCACGGGTACACAGATGAGACTGTCACTCTTACACTTTCTTTCACTAGCCCTTACACGTGGTCCTCCAAATTACATTGCCGAGGTGATGAAAATTATGTTCTGTTTGCATCATAAGAAGGTAGTCTGTAGCTTATCCTGAAATATTCATCTAAAAGGGGAGAATTTAAGGCAGTTTTACTTAATTATGCCCATAAAAATATTCCTCACTATTAGGCAATAATAGTACTATCTGCCTATATTTTATTTCATGTACAATTTCTAGTACTTTAAAGAGTTCCTAATTAATTTCTTTTTCCCTTCCATTATTCATATTTTTCTTAATTTTCAGACCTCAAAACCTTCCCCTAATTCTTTCATTTTTCCTCTATAATGTTATGTCATAATTCCCCATAATATCTTCCTTCTAGACACTTTCATTTTCTGCTGCAACCTGTACCATTATCTGTTACCATAATTCTCTTCTGAAAACCATCACTGTTGTTTTCCATGGTAGTGTTCTCGCCACCCAGTGTGTTCTTTAATAAAAGGGAAACCTCTTGGCCCTCACATTGCTCCACCTACTACCTGAAGACATGGCTCAGTCTCCCAAAGGCTTGCACTTCTTGACCAAAAGTCTCATGTCACATCAAAATATCATCTTCCACATGCTTCCACATTAGCAATCTGTCCTTTGTGAGAAATTTCCTAAGATGTTGATTCAAATAAAATAATTTGGAGCTGCATTTCAATTTATTTATTTAACTTGTACCAGATGTGCTTCATTCTATTTCATCTAGAAATATTACACTTTATTTTTCTTTCTGGCATTATTTGACAGCACTAACCTTTTTATAATAAAGAGTGTTTAGTTACTAAATAATTTAAAGTACCACAAATTGACCAGTGACTAAAATTTTTCAATATTTTACTAAGGTACTCTTATTCTATTTCCACTATATATCTGTTGTTTTAAAGTCTCCTTATTATTCTGTAAGATGCGGTAGGTGAGACACTGTATGATTCCCCACCAGCCTGATTAGCTTTTTTCTATTTTTGACAGAATATAGTACTATGTCATGGCTATGTACAGCCTTGATTCCATTTAAATATCTGTGACAAATCCTCTACGGAGCAAAGAGAAGAAGACTAGAGTAATGTGACTAATTCAGCATACATAATTAGTTAATGTGCTTAGTTATGATTCAGAACTATGAAATTCTTAGAATTAATGGAATGCATAAGAGATAGACAATCTGACTTTCCTGTCAGGGTTTAATTTATGCCAAATACTAACCTTTTATTCAGAGATCACTATCTTGAAGACATTAAATGTTCAAATATATTATATTTTTCATTTAATTTTTAAAATCTGTCCAAGGAAATCTGTTTACAGACTTTGCTGTTCTTTTTTTTTTTTTTCAATTTTTATCACTGAACATTTACTGAATGTTTGTTGCTTATAATTTCCTCCTACTTATCCATCATGGTGCTAGCTTCTTGAAAGAATCCAAATAATTGAAATGCAGTATCTAACCCCAAGAATATGTTAATTTAAATGGAGACACCAGAACTATGAACATTGAAACAAAAATATTCAAAACAGTTAATAAAAGAGTTACTCTATGGTGCAAATAATTGAATGATATTTAAAGAAATCTGAAGAAAAAAAGAAATGCAAGAACTGTAATGCTTGTGAACATTTCATGAACAAAGTCATGACTGGAGAACTACTGATAAACTATTTTTATACAAATATTTAAAACCAATTTTTCCATACTGCTTTTAGATTATTACCTAATTTTTTTAATATATTTTCTTTTTATCTATGAGATAGGTCTTAAACAAAAGGATTAATGTTTACTTTTGAAATTTGGCTTTGAATTTAAGCATGTGTATGCATGTGTGTTTGTGTGACTTTAGCTAGTTCCTTTAATTTCTATGAAAATTCATACAAATAAAACTATTCTTAAATAGTTGAAATAGAATTAATTAAAGTAACTTGAACTCAGAAGTCATGACAGTTTTAGAAGATGAACATCCAGCATTAATACAATGGAGTAACATTACAGAAGTTATTCTAGATAAGTTTATTTTAAACATGAATTCTGTAGTCAAGAACTTACGATATAGGAATACTTCATTGAAGATAATAGATAATGAAAAATCTAAAAGTTATGAAAAGCAACAGTACCAAGTTGGATGGTATGAAATAGGTGGATCAAAATTCAGCACTTCAGTCTGATACAACAGAGGATGACCTTCCTTTCCAACATGGTTCTCTTGGTAGTCATCATTTATAGATCAGATTTGACCAAATTAAAAAAAAAAACTTGTGAAACCAGAAACTTATGAAAGGATCTTTTATTTCTAAAATCCTAATATTCAAGTCAAGGTAGTTGAATCATCTCCAGAGTAATCAAAATAGTAACTCATCTTTTCTGAATGTTATGAAGTTCCTGAAAGAAGAGTCTTTTCTATCTCTCAGCTCCATCAAGAATCACTTGCTTAACAAGTTGCTTTTCTGATCTATGTTTTTCTGTACTTTACTAGACTCATTCATGGGAAATAAGGCAAAGAAAGCATACAGAAATATTTTTCAGTCTTGACCTAGAGTTCTTAGGACAAAGAAAAACAATATACTGAGATCTACTCAAGCTTGGCTTCTCCACAGATCATTACAACCAAGATGCCAATTAACATGAAATATGACAGTGGCTTTTGTGATGTGGACAGCTGGCCACTTAGACATACACAAGGACCACCTGCTTGTGTAGTATAGGCCACCAAACAAGCACCAGATGGTGACAACATTTGAATGTCATGACTGGACTCACATCTCAGCCCTATTTAAAATGGACATTAAGAGAAATAGCTTTAAAATTCACATTTGGTCTGGAAAAAAGGCAGTTATCTACAAATCTCACATGTATGACTTGGGCCAAAAGAATCATTCTTGGGCATTAGTGGCCCAACAGAAGTTCTACCACATGTAGCAATTAGAAACAATTGGCTTAAACAAGATATACTTTACCTGCTGAGATCACCGTATGCGAGGCCTGGGGAGGAGAAATGAAGAAAATTTAGCTATAGGGAGATTTGATTGAGGTGACAAATATAAGGGTCGACAGAAAAGCAAAAAAAAAAAAAAAGGTTGTTAGAAGAACTCTGTTGCCACAGCAAGGAGAGGATTTAAAACATGCCATTTTGGCAACACGTCTAAGTCCTTGAAACTTGCTCCTAGTACACACATTAGGAAAAAAATCTGAAATTTCAAGTTATATTGCTCATAGAAAAAGTATAAATACAACTTTTGTAATAAATACGCATTAGACTATTGATAGAACATTCAAGACCCAATCACTTCCCAGGGTCGAACAAAATGTTCTGTTTAATTGGCTAATGTCCAAAGCACCATGGAATAATTATAAGGAAAAACTTATTTAGCAATTCGGAAAACATAGTTATACTTTGGACATAGATAATCCATGCTTATATTTCATAAGAAAGAAATAAAGAAAGTAATCTTCTTTGGGGAGCCAAGGATCACCTATAAAATTTCTAGTACGTTATGTAATAGCTGAAATACCACAAAGATTTCACTAATCAAACTTGTTCTCCATTATAGTTTGATGTCTCTGCACCATACGAAAAAGAACAAAAATTAAACCAACAGAAATTAGATTCCCATCTCCCTAACAACATACATAGGTAAGTCTTGTTGAGAATAGCAGCCAGGTGTCCAATATAATTTCCTGAATTTTATAATGCAGCTAACTTAGCAGGTGGTCCTAAGTCTCTAAATCAAATTGTTAGGGTTTTATGGAAAAAAAGAGTCATGTTAAAAAAAGTTCCTACAAATGCTAGAAAAAGCCAAAAATATGATCAGGCAAAAAAAATATTGGTTAAATTTCAAAAGTGCATTTCTCAGTATTGTGTCAAACATGTTTACTGAACTGTACAATTAATAGAAAATATTCTGTACTAGAGTCCCTAATTATTATTCCACACAGAACAGAACACCTCTTCATTATCCCTTTCTGAATTGATTGTGTACATCAAACAGTCAAGATATAAATAAAATATGCCTGCATGCATAATACCCTCGCATTAAAGCTGAAAGCAATTAACCTATGATTTCTCATTAATTAAATTAAAATAACCTTCTAAAAATGTCTAAAATCAAAACAGATTTCTCTTAGTGTGGATGTTCCTCCCAATGATTCAGTGATCCTGTTTACTAAATTTATCACGGCAATATAAAAATGTTATTTCTGATTGTAACCCAGACTTGTCTCTAGTTTTCTCCTGATATTCCTGTATTTTTTAGCTAAACCCAATTAGACTATTAGTGGGTTTGATTTTCTTTTCTGTTTTTAGAAATACCTGTGCTCATCAATAATTCTTTTCTATTAAACAGTATCCCTGAACTGTATCCGTGTCATACAGCACAAAGTTGAATGTTAGTTGGTGAATTTTCTGAATGTAGGCAGTAGGCCCATGTAAGTGAGACACCCAAGAAAAATAATCACCTGAATATGGGTGTGCCCTTGGTCAAGCTGGAAAATGGTCATTATTCCCCGGACAAGCACTTTTGAATTCCTCCTTTATATCTGTGATTTCCAATACTTATGATACTAAGTTATTAGTTATTTCAGTAGTATAAACACTAAGGAGTTTTTATTTTCTTTTAAATGGACATAAAAATATATGCTAGAAATTTTCCTTGACTTCCTCTGAACTTTACAGATTTCCTGGAGTCCCACACATAGAATACATGTTCACAAATTTCTAACACTTAAGGCCAATTCTTCATAATTCAAAATTAGATGCAAAATTTTGCTTAAGTGTCATATGTCTATTGATTCATCTTTTCTGTAATGTGAAAAGCATAGGTATTCACTCTTTTTGTCATATGTACATATTGTCTTCTGGAATCTCATAATGTCCAGCACAGTGCTTCCCTATAGAAAGTTCTTAATACTATAGTTGCTGCTGTGTTTAATTTTGGAGTCCTTTCTTTCTCCCAACCACCACATGGATGTCAGTGACACACTTTTCTACTAGTCACATAGGTGAAAATTTTGGAGACATATTTTACTCTTTCACCATCTTTATCTTTTTATCAGTTTCCTTATGAGGTGCTGTCATTTCTTCTTTCAAAAGATGGGATTGCTTCCTTTTTCTTGAATCCTATCATGACAGCCTAATATAGGTATTCATTTCTTTTCCTTTAGAGCTAAGGGACAATAGCCTTTCACTCCCCTTCCTGTCTATAAGTTATCCTATGATGGGTATTGTCTTTATATTTTGATAAAATATATATTTTTGAAGTTTTGTTTTCCCTTTACTCTCTCTGCATACACCTGAACACCTCTATAGTAGCCCAAATTATCTGTCAACCAACCAACAAATACCACCATCTTTCCCATCTACTCCTCGCTTGAAGAGTCCTAGATTTTGTATTTTAGTGGCAGTACAGGTCCTAAACTTTTACAGAAGGGTAGCTCTTCCCCTGTTCAGTGCTGATCTAAGTCAAGCAATGGTCTACTGGTACGCACTTGACTGAATGCTGATCAACAAGCACTAAGGGACAGGTGACTTATAGCTTCTATTCCTGAATAAAATGACAGTGCCTCATAAAGAGAAAAAATGCATTCCAATCCTTCCTCATAGCTCAAAACATCAGATGAAGAATGTGATACTTAGATGTATGCCAGTAATCCAGAATAGCACATGAAAAGGACAAGAAAACATTGAATATTTGATGGCATTTTGAGATGCTATACCAATAATTAAAAACTTTTGGCTAAAGAATGAGAAAAATTTAGTAAATTTAATATATTTAACTATTTGAAAAACGTTGGCCATGCATGGACTGCTCAGGAGACAGTCAAATGCCAACCTTTTCCTGTGACTCAGGGCCATTTGCAGACTGTGGGGGAAAAAACAAGAAGTCAACAAGAAGCAACCCCTCTCTGTGAATTGGTGCCATCTCCAAGCCACTGGGATGAGAGCCACGGTATCAACCCCTTCTGGTGCACAAACTGGGAAACAAGAGCCAACTCCTCTCCCACCTTAAACAACCAGCTCATTCAGAGTAACACAGGCTGCAAAGAGATAAAATACAATGTAATCCTTGCAGGGTTTAGTGTTTCACTGACTTTGCAGGTCTAAAGCTAGTGGTCTGATCATCTATTCAGAGGATAACAATACATAATGTAGCATCTATGGGGATCTCCTTCTGAGGGCGGTTAGCCATTGTTCCTTCCCTGTTTTCTTCTTTTGAAGACCTGTATCATTTTCATTGTTGGGTTGGATTTTATTCTAGTTTGCTTTGTTTGATTTTATTATATCCAACGGCATGGGCTGTTATTTCAAAGATAACAAGATATATGATGGTATCTGTTTTGTATTTACTATTATCTTGTTTTGAAGTTCTTTATTGCATCCATTGTTTGTTTTTATTGGTTCTATCATGTTCTGTTTTGTTTGATTTTTACTATGCCTGAGGTTATGAGCCGCTATTTTGAAGACAAGAGGTATTATGGTAACGATTACTGATTTCTTGTTTTGAAGTCATGTGTCACTTATACTGGTTTCCTTTGATCGGCTTTATTCTGTTTTATTTTGCTTGATTTTATTCTCTTTAAAACAAAAATGTCAAAAATTAAAGGAAATTATTCTGTGGTGCAAGAAGAGTCTGCAGACAGATTGTGTGAAGTATGGTTCTTCAGTGACCCAAGTTAGAAACTCACTGGCACAGAACAGTGACGCCCAGTACTGTGGAAGTTTTCGATAAATTCTAGCTGTAGATTAATCCCATGCTACACAGAACCTAATTTCAGCGAACATACCATTTCCAATTCAATGAAGGCACTTGAGAAATTCACCAAACATGTATTTAAACAATTTATTCTGCTATGTGAATTCTTAGAAGTCCCTGAAGAAATGCATGCCTGCAGCATGCAATGGCATTACACAAGTTATTGTAGTCAATACTGCAACTTGTGTATCCAGCTCCTCAAGGCAGTTTTTAGAAGATCAGGTCAATGGCTTATGTTTGAAGTTTTATTTTAAAGTGATAAGGGAGACTTGTTTCAATATCTTTTAAAACTAAATTAAAATAAAATGATATTTATAAAAAATTACTTTTCAAAAAAGATTTTATGACAAATAAGCAAGCTTAAAATGATGCATTAATTCAATATTTCTGCATACTATCATTAATAAAACACTGTATGCAAAGCATATGAAAGACATATAGTATAAAGAAAAGTGACTGAATTTTTACAAACTAACAGACACAGGTATGATTTTTTGGCCCTTCAAAGTAGTCACCTAAAACAATATACTTTATTTCAAAAATGCTCAAAATATATTCTGCGGACATATCTTTCATGGTGGCATATACTAATCGTTGATAATGGAATTATGTTTTAAAAGCAAGACAAACTCATTAAACTTAATGAAATTAATCTCAACTTACCAAAATTTTATTTTCCACAAAGCCCAATTAAACTCAAATTTCCCTTACATCCTACATTTTTGGAAGCCAGGCTTCACCAATACATACACTTCCATGGCTCTTGCCCATAAAAATCTTCATTCCTTCAAAATATCTTCCCAGAGTACTAGGACCAACCCACAGTGCATAAATTAAAGAAAATTTCTGCTAAATAATCTACTTCTTAGTTCTATATCTACCAAATTTATGAGATGGACTCTCTTTTTCTATGCATTTCCTAAAAAGTCACTCAGTCTTAATCTATGTGAAACATCAGAGCTTCTTGTTGTTATTGTAGTGCTTTTACTTCATTACCTGTAAAGCTGGCATCTACACTTCACTAAACATATATTCCTTGAGGGTGCAAGTATGATTATCTTCAAATGGACACAGGTCCATTTTCATATGTTCCTTTGTGTAACAGACTTAGAAAGAGAGCTTTACTCTCTAGTTTACAGAAACCACCTCAGAAAGTGTGTCCCATATTGTGCCAGCCTTTGGAATCTTTTAACCTTCATTCTTTCCTTTATTTCTAAGCCTCATGGAAAGGAA